TGAAAATGTGCATGTGATTGTTTTGCTTCAAGTAGGGAAAATGGAGTTTCCTTCTACAATAGGACCTAGAAGAGAAGTATGAGCAGGAACATGCATGCAAACAAGAGAATGGGTATGTTCTCGTATTGCACTTTGTAATTCGTGAAAAAGCTGAAAAATAGAGAGGTTAGTGGAGTACTTCAATTGTGCATTTTCTATAGAATTATCTACATAAACAGCATACTTGCTATCAGAAGCAATATTGAGAGGGCAATTGTAATGTTTTATGACTTCAATAATTGTAAAAATTTCATTTTGTTGAGTAGAATTGGAGTATTAATAATCCTTTTAGTGTCAGGCGGGCAGTAATAAGCTGCCCTACAGTTTTTCGTGGCATCAGTAAAAATAGTTAGTGCTTTAGATAATGGTTGTGTCTGTACAATCTGAGGGAAAATCCACTTATAATTGAATTGAAAGAGTTTTTGAGTAACTATATTATCCATAGATCCTTGATACACAGATACCACAACTGGCCAGAAGGTGTCACCGTTGACTAACATATCAAGCTGCTCCTGAGTATATGGTTGATGAATCATTTGAGGGAGGCACCCACTGATTGCAAGTACTCTTTTTAGCACTTTTGATATAAGTTGCTTTATGAGCCGTGCATAAGGAGTTACAGACTTTTTAGTTTGAAATGGCAGGAATACCCACTCTAAGATTCCCGCTTGTTGGTGTATAGCTCCAGAAGGGATTTCTGGAGTTGGCATAATTGTTATTTCAATAGGAAGATTGCTTTCTATTCTTTGAATTTTACATTTGTCAACTGCAGATTCAACTTTTTTCAATTGTATATCTGCCTTTGGAGTTAACTGCCTTGGGGAATTAAGATTAGGATCTCCTCAGAGTATTTTAAAAAGTTCCCCTAATTCATGAGTTCCTATTTCTAAATGAGGTTGAAGCCAATTGGTATCTTCCAATAATTTCTGAAAACATTTAAAGACTTTAATTGATCCCTTCTTATTGTAACCTTCCGCGGTCTGACGTCTGCCTGATCTACTGTTTGTCGTGAGTATGAAAAGGGTGGAGCAAGCTGTATTTTATTTGGTGTTACAACTAAACCTTGATATTCCAACGCTTTAGTCATAGTACCCAAAATTACTTCTAATACTCCAGCATCTGGGTGAGAACATAAAATATCATCCATATAATGTATAATATAAGCCTGTGGAAAACGATCTCTAACTGGTTGAATAGCTGCTGCTACAAATTGTTGACAAATGGTGGGGCTATTTTTCATCCCTTGAGGGAGAACTTTCCATTGATATCTTTTGTGAGGGGCTCTTAAATTTATTGAAGGCAAAGAAAATGCAAAATACGGTCTGTCAGTGGGTTGTAGCGGAATAGTATAAAAACAGTCTTTTAAATCTATTATCTGTAAACGCCATTCTTGTGGTATCATATTAGGAGAGGGTAAGCCTGGTTGAAGGCTGCCTATATCTTGCGTTCTATCATTTATGCATCTAAGATCAGTTAACATTCTCCATTTTCCTGATTTCTTTTTTATAGCAAAAATAGGTAAATTCCATGGACTATTAGAGGGTTCAATGTGACCAACTTCTAACTGTTCCTTTACTATTTCTGTTAAGGCAGCCAGTTTTTCTTGAGACAGGGGCCATTGTTCCACCCATATGGGAGGCCCCTTCCTCCAAGTTATGTTAGGGGTCTCTACCTTTCTATTATTCTCAACAGTGACCCCAATTAAAAACCCTGATGTGTAGATTGTGTGGATACTCCCATATCCTTAAGCACATCTCGCCCCCAAAGATTTACTGGCAGATTTTCAAGAACTTAAGACCGAAATTTTCTGACCTCCTGTACTTGCCACGAGAGCCATTGGGCACTCTGTTGTGGCATTGTTACAGTCCCTACTCCCTGAAGAGGCATCTCTGTTTGATATAAAGGCCATGTCTGAGGCCAGTGTGTTCTAGCAATAACAGACTTATCAGCTCCAGTATCTATTAACCCTTCAAAAGTTTTTCCTTCAATATTTATTGTTAAAGTGGGGCGACTACCGGTAATTGCCTGTGCCCAAAAAGCTTCTCTACCTGTACTGCCAAATCCTTGTGCCCCTCTGATCTTATTTTTACTACTGCCTGTGTTCATATAAGGAATAAGTATCAGCTGTGCAATTCTCTCCCCTTTGGTTAGTAGCAGAGGCTCAGGGTACAGTGAATATGAAAGAACATGAATTTCTCCAGTATAATCAGAATCAACAACTCCTGGTAATATTACAAGTCCTTTTAAAGAGGATGAACTAAGACCAAGAATGAGTCCCATTGTCCTTTGAGGGATAGGGCCCAAAATACCAGTAGGTAATGAACATGTGCCTGTAGAGGGGGTTATTGAATAAGAACATGCAGTAGGGAGATCAAGACCTGCACTACCCTTAGTAGCATGATATAATTCTTTTAGTGTGGCTGAGCGGGCATTTGAACTGGAGGAATTAAGGATAACGCTGCTCCCATTGTTTGGTGGGGCCGGAGCTGGCCCCAGGAGACGTTTCCCGAAAGTGGATTCCCCTTTTTGTCTGTAGTGGAGTAACACTCCTTAGCCCGGTGTTTGCCCTTGTGGCATCTAGGACAGACCTGTGAAGGTAGCTGAGATTTCTGAAATTGAGGGTTATGCATGGGGGCCTTACAATCTTTTTCATGTGACCTTGTTTCCCACAATTATAACAGCGGAGATCTTTGCTGCCCTGAGACTGCTTTAATGCCGTAGCAAAAGTTCCCGCGAAATAAGCAGTTGTTCCTACACCTTTTAATCATCTCAGTAACAGATATGTCATCCCTTGTTCCAGCTAAGCACTTTTTATGGTCAGAATTAGCATTTTCTTTAGCTAGCCTTTGTAACAAAATAGCAGCTGCCTCAGGGTCACTGATAACTTCTTGAATGGCTAAAGATAGATGAGCTAGGAAGTTGGCAAAAGGTTCTTGAGGCCCTTGAACAAGTTTAGTACAGGAAGTAGAGCGATCAGTTTTCCCTGGGACCTTCATGCACGCTGCACGAGCACACTGCATAATTTGCTCACAAGCATGTAGGTCATAGTGTAATTAATTGCTCTCTTAATTCTGCATATTGTCCAGTACCAGTTACTGTTCAAAAGTTATGTTTATTCCCTGTTGATGGTTCTGCCTAGCCTTCTTCTGACACAGTTCCCAAAATTCTGATTTCCAGACTAAATAATCACCTCCTTGCCCCCATGTTTCAATTCTTTTAGTAATTTTAGATCAAAAGACCGATGTTCTCTGATGACCCCTCCATTAGGATTTGCTGTTTCTGTAACAGGCAAAGCAATCTGCAATTCTGTAGGGACATCCTACCCTGCTGTGTGTCTTAGAGCTCTGGTCACAATGTCTTCCTCCTCTCCATCGATCCAGATTTGACTGGGATAAATGTTTTGGAGGAGCTGGAGGGCATGGAGCATGTGGAGGGGGTTTTAAAACTCCAGCCCCTTTCTGACTTCTCTCATCCTTAATTTCTGTTTTTGTTAATATTTCTGCTACTTCTTCCTCCTCTGTGGTGCTACAAGAAGCCTCCACCTTAACTACTTTTGTGGCTAAGGCACTTCTTCTGGTTTTTGGAGTCATATTTTAAGTATGTTACAAATTGAAAAAGTGGACACTGGAAAAGCACCAGGTCCACATTCCTGATAAGACTCACTGAACTGTTTACCTACCATTTCCCATGTTTCTATATCTGTGGTCCCTTCTTTGGGAAACCAAGGACAGCATTGTTCCAACTGTATCTAAAAATTCAATCAGTTGTCTAGAATTGATCAATAATCCCCTATCTTTTACTAATGATTTTAATACTTGTAAATAATATTCTCGATCTCTTTGCTCTGCTGATGAAGCTTGCCCTATTTTTACTGCTTATGTTTTCTTTTAAACAATATTCTCTGTCTTTCTTTTCTGTTGTTTATATTTTCTTATACTCTCATTCAGCTTGTGTAACTTCACTTTCACTGTAAACCAACCTAGCAAAGTACATCAATTCAAAGTGAAAATAAAACACACACACTGATCTATTTTTCTAATCCTGCTTAACCTGGTGAATAAAACTACTTAGAAAGAAATTACCACCCTTACCTTGTTTGCTGTCTTTTTTCAAAGGCTGGCATTGCCTCCTTTCCCTTTCCGGAGATCCGTTTGCTGTCTTTTTTCAAACAGCGGGAGTCATCTGCTTTCCGGCAACGTGTTTCCCATCTTGTTTGAGACGAGTGGAATGTTCCTCATTAGGGCTGATGGCCAGACAGCCCACCTTGGTCAAGGGCTCCTTACCGGAGGAAACCACTCTTTCAGGCTCCTGAGTGCCTCACATTGGGCGCCACCTGTTGCAGACACCTGCATTTACGACTGTGTTTAATTGCATGTTTAATTGCCAGTGAGGTATGAGAGAAAAAAAGGAATCAGGCAGACTGGGGGTAGCAAGTTAAGAACAAGCTCCGTTTATTGATCTGAGGGTTAGGGTTTTTATACCCCATTTGTGGGAACAGAACCCAGAGTGGAAAAAGCCAAGTTATCAACAATAATTTTTCTCATGGAAACAGTAACTGGGGGGAGTCCCCTTAGAATCGTCTCCTTGCTTCCCGGTTATTTTTCAAGGCCCTTCTGTTCTCAGGAGAAAACAGAGCAAGGGAGGGCTTGGAGAGCCTATGGTCTGACTTAGGTGGCCCTTAGATTTTAGAACAGGCTGGAGGTAAAACCTGGCCTAGCCTAAATCCTCAAACCCATTGGTGCAAGCCCTCTACATATCACTGCTGATTGGTGGATATTTAGGTTTCTGCTTAGTAGTGAGCTCATTTCCAAGCATGGGTGTTAAGCCAATGTCGATGAGTAAATGCCCAAACACAAAATTGTGTACTGGACATGAACTGGTCACTGTGTCTATGTTATGGCTTTCATCGGTTACAGTATTTAAGTTATCCCTCGGTGTCTAAATTATGATTTTTTTAACAGGTCACATGTCCAGGCTTCCACCTTTCACAGAGTTTAAGTTAATGGCTTTTTACTTCTGTACTGCTAAGCAGCCTTATTTACTGCAGCAATTAGTTTTGGTTTGGATTGACTTAGAAAGGACACAGAATCTCAAGTTTGATTTATATGTAAGTATATAGTAAAAGTATTTATTGTTAAGATAGTAAAATAGGATTAAGATTAGTAAGTAGAGTAGAGTTAGAGTTAATAAGTCCCAATAGGTAACAATAATATACTTAAGTCTCAATCGGTATCAAATCTTGTCACAATTAATCATCACTGTCAGGGGAACCACCTACATCTGGCCACATGGGCTGGGGAGTTCTGGTTTTCAGCCTCCAGAGTACCAACAGGAAAATCCCAGGCTACATGTCTGCGTGTAGGGGAGACTCCAAAGATAATTCAGGGCTACTTGCCTTTAATAGTTCATTCTAACAAAGAAGGCAATTTGCCAAAAAATATATGATCTGTGAGAAAGGAGCTGCTTTAAAATTATCTTTGAGAGTATTCCTATTTATGAATATTGGATTACTGGAGGGATGGCTAGCTCTTCCTGGGAGCACATACCATGAACAGTCCTTCAACCTAGGAGTAAGATTAACATGAAAAAAGAGTCTGGGTCAAATTGCAGGCATACTGAGCGAGGTCAGAATGTCTTTTTTTTAAAAATTCATTCATCACAATTTCTTACTGTGTATTATGGTTTCTCCCCAATTGGGACCCCATGCGTATTCTTCAGATTTTCATGTAATATTTCCCTTTATGTCTAGATCATGTATCCATTTTGACCTTACCTTGGTAAATGGTGGAAGATATTAGTCTATGCCTACTTTCTGCCAGTCTGCTTCCTAGCCTCACCAATCTTTACCAAATACTGAATTCTTGTCCCAGCAGCTTGAAGGCTTTACACTTGTCAAACACTGGTAGCTATATTTGTTTGCTGCTGTAAGTTGTATGTCTTCTCTGTTCCACTGATCTACCTCTCTGTTTCTTAGCCAGTAGCAGACAGTTTTGATAACCACTGCTTTATAATATAGTTTAAGATCTGGTATTACTAAACCTCCTTCCTTTATACTTTTTTCCCATTAGTTCTTTTGATATTCTTAGCCTTTTGTTCTTCCAAATAAATTTTGTTATTATTTTTTCTAGCTCAGCAAAATAACTTTTTAGTATTATTTGCGATGTCATTGAATGTATAACTTAATTTTGGTAAGATTTTCACTTTTATTGTATTGGCCCTGCTTACCCATGAAGAATTAATATTTCTCCATTTAAATCTGATTTTTTTTTTAATACAAAATGTTTTTTTAATGATTTTATTCAAATAGTTCCTGGGTTTATTTTGGCATTTGTATTTCCAAATATGTTATACTGTCTAGAGTTATTTTAAATGGCATATCTATAGCTTTCTCTTCCTGCAGGGTCCTGTTGGTGATATATAGAAATACTGATGATTTGTGAGGGTTTACTTTATATCCTGCCACTTTGCTGAAATTATTATCTCAAGTAACTTTTTAGTTGAGTCTTTAGGATTTTCCAAATACATCATCATATTATCTGCAAAAAGAGATAGTTTTATTACTTTATTCCCTATTCTGATTCCTTTTATTTCTTTTTCTTCTCTTTTTGCTATTGCTTAGATTTCCAAAACAATACTGAATAATACTGATGACAGTGGGCATCCTTGTTTCACATCTGATCTTACTGGGAAAGCTTCTAGCTCATCCCCATTACAAATAATGCTTGCTAATGGTTTTAGGTAGATGCTTCTTATCCACTCTCCTGTAAGTATCCACAGCCAGCAGCCTCCCTGCCACACTGCTAAGGTGGCTGTTATAACAGGCATGTGCTAGCTCCTTGTTGTTAGCCGTAGCACGCGTTTAGGGTTAGGCTTCTAGTCAGCCAGCACAGGAAAGCAAAGGGTCCTTCAGTCCTCCCCTGCTCGGATATCTGAGCCCTACAGTCCCTGTGAGGTGAAAATTGCTGTGGCTGAGGTTGAGGCTGGGGATGCCTCCCAACCCAGCTACCCCCAGGGCTGTTGTTTGTAGTTTGGGAGGAGAGGGCCTGAGTGTTTGGACTTTACTTGGGCCAAACTTCCCATCCTGGGGTCTGTCTTCAGGTCTTTTTCAGTTGTCCTCAGAGAGCCACTGCTCTACCACAACTCTCCATTCACCCTGAGGTGCCATTCTGTCTTGTTTATGGAGGAAATCTGTAGAGCTTGGAACTTTCTAACCTATTCTGCCACCTTCCCTTGTTTTTGTTCTTTTGGCCCTGGGAGCACTGAGCACAATCTTGTTAATTTCAAAGCACTACATTTTAACAAGCAAAGTGATTTGATGAAGAGAGGAAACCACCTTAGTGGTGAAGAGATCGGGATGATTGGTTGAATGAAGTGGGTGTATTTAGCCTAGAAGAGAAGACTTAGGGCTACATGATAGCTACTTTCATCTATTTCATTTTCATTGTTTTATTTCAGCAAGTATAAAAGGAACTAGGCTATTACTATTTGAGCTTAGAGGGCAGAAGTAAGAGTCACTGGTGCGTGTTTAAAAAAAACATTTAAAATCTGTATCATTGGATCCATTAACAACAAGTATTTATTTAGTACCTACTGTGTACTGGGCATTGCGCTAAGTGATAAGGATATAAAGGAAGGTGAAAATAGCCCCTGCCTTCAAGGAGCTTACAGTCTGATGGGAGAAGAATTCCTAAGTGCCTGCTGTACATCAGTCTTTGTATGGGGTTACAGATATGTAAATGAAATAATCCCCACTGGCAAGAAGTTTATATTCAAACTTCATAACAGTTAGAACTATACTTGAGTAAGCACAAATATTTTTGGTGTCTCAGGAATCGGTGACATTCCAGGATGTGGCTGTGGAGTTCACCTGGGAGGAGTGGGTACGTTTGAACCCGTCTCAGAAAACACTGTACAAGGATGTGATGCTGGAGAACTATAGGAACTTGGTCTCTTTGGGTAAGAACAGCTTCCCCTTTGGAGCCATGATGTATGCTATAGAGACTTTTGAGATTTTAAGTTATTTTTTGTCATACAAAAGGAAGATATTCATAATCCTTTTGTAGCCAAGAGACAGAATACTTGTGCTATCTGTTTTGAGGGAAAATGTCTTTCTGTAGTATATCTATAAACTAGCCTGCTTCATTTGTTATCCTTGAGAATGTATCTTCCCCTCTCTGTTGCTTCAACTCCAAGATTTTTCTGTTCAATCCTAGTATAGGTATTATTTCCCATTGTCTAAGTAAGGATTGAGTCAAATGAACTGTATTTTCTAAGTCCTACTCTGTAACCCCTTTCTCCATGATGTAGAATATCCTTCAGTGGTCCTTTGTACTATTTTTGAGGTCTTCCTAGCATGCCTACATTTTTTTTTACCAAAGAGCTTGATCTGATTTGGAATTCTTTTATTAAGTTTAATAGATTGTTTTTTTAATGTCAGTTCTCCTCTACACTCCCACTCTACCCCTTAAAAAACAAACAAACAACAACAACAACAACAACAAAAACCTATCTGTCTTTCTAACTAGTGCATTGAGCCCTCTCTGGTTGAAAAAAATAAAAATTTTCAGAGAAAATCAGCTAACATAGACAGTGCCCTTGATGATATAAGATATATTCTGCACCCTTATTTCATCGCCTTTCTACTAAGGAGGATTTCATATCTGTTTTATGATGGGTTCTGAGTTGACTGTCTGTAGTACTTTTTTATTTTCGATGGACAGGATTTGCAGTTTCCAAACCAGACGTGATCTACCAATTGGAACATAAGGAAGCATCTTGGATGTCAGAGCCAGATTTTCCAAGTAGCAGCTGTCCAGGTGACTACATAGAAATCAATTAGATGGATCATTGCAAATTGCAGCTCTGTTGGTCATTGTAGGTCAAAGCTCTTGTAAAATGTGGAACAAGGTGATGTTACTAAAGCTTCTCAGGCCTGTTGAGAAGAGTGGAGACTTTACAACTTCATTTTCTAATTCAGAAAGTTACCTTTTTATGTATGTCTTTACTCACATGTACCTCCACTCTAAGAGAAAGTTCTTGCCTCTATACAGGATAGGTATTTCTGTTCTCTTCATTGAAGATTATCTTATCTTAAACAGGCATTCTCTTGCCTCAGTTGCATGAATTCATTCTCCTTTTTAAAATAGACATGTTACTTAAAATATTAACAATATGCCCTTTTTGTTTTGGAGTTCCATTTTAATATTTTCTTCTGTGTTGTTTTTATGGTTAATGTTCCTTTGCTTCTGTTACTTTTTAAAATATTTAATCATAACCTAATTTTCCATTCTCCAGTCTGTCATTTTATACATCATCCTGTTTTACCTTGTGCTTTGAAGTTATGTTTATAAAGTCACAATATTATGTTCATATCTCAGGACTTGTTTGGCTATAACCGCATCTTTGGACCTATAGTTTTTCAGTATTTTGCTATTTCACAAAAAACTGCTGTCAATATATTTTGAGAGAGATCTTTGTTTGCTTTTGACAACATTTTGAGGATATAGATCTGATAGTAAGACCATTGAGTCAAAGGATATGAACAGTTTTATAGCTCTTGGTTAAATTGTTATGTTGCTTTTTACAAAAGAAAAAAAATGGCACCAGCAGCTTATTAAGTGCCTATTTCAACATAACAGCCAAAAATTAAAGTATCTTTTAAATTTTAAAGTATCTTTGCAAATCTGATGACTATTTGGTGATACCTCCAAATTAGGGGGGTTTTTTATGTTTCAGGTGATTATTATAATCTGTCTTGTGAAAAATACTTATATGTCTTGATCATTTACCTTTTGGAATTGGATCTTACTCTTACAAATTTGAATCAGTTCCTTACAAAATAGATACGTTGGATTTTTAGAGAAAATTTATGGCAACAGTTGTCTGATATGACCCCCTTTCCTCATATTTCTTTTTATTCTGCTTGTTTTGTGTCTCTATCTCTTCTCCTCACTCTAAACTCATCAATTTTTTTTCTTTCTGTCCGGTGTTTTTTCTTCCTATATTCCCCCCAGATATGTTTGCAAGCTCTCAGAGTCATCTGGTTTTTTATGGGTAGTCTTTCATTTCCTTATTTCATTCAAATATTAGCCATTTACAGTAGTGTAAGCACTTACTCATCTTTCCAGGTAGTTTCATCCTAAGTCAATTCATTTACATATGTTAACTTTAAATTATTACACTTTCACATAACATAAATTATGATATTTAGCGAAAGACAGTGAGACTAGGCTTCTCAAGTGCGAAGGCAAGAGAATACCTCTAAAAGCTTTGAGCAACTGGGAACCTTGGGAAAGGAGAAAAAAGGCAGGATTAATTTGCTCTGTATTTTTCCTTTCAGGAAGCAAAGAATTTACTGGAGAGAAACCTTATGAATGTAGTGAATGTGGGAAGGCCTTTAGGAGTAAGACACAACTTAGTATACATCGGAGAATTCATACTGGAGAGATTTTCTATGAATGTAAGGAGTGTGGGAAGGCTTGTCACTGCAACTCAGAACTTATTCGACATCAAAGAATGCATACTGGAGAGAAACCTTACGAATGTACAGTGTGTGGTAAGGCCTTCAGCATGAATGCAAATCTCATTGTACATCAGAGAATTCATACTGGAGAGAAACCTTATGAATGTAGTGAATGTGGAAAGGCCTTTAGACAGAGGACACACCTTTATGTCCATCAGAGAATTCATACTGGTGAGATTCCTTATGAATGTAGTGAATGTGGAAAGGCCTTCAAGAGGAAGACACAACTTACTGTCCATCAGAGAATTCATCCTGGAAAGATTCTTTATGAATGTAAGGAGTGTGGGAAAGGTTTCCTCTGCAAGTCAGATCTTACTAAACACCAGAGAATTCATACTGTAGAGAAAGCTTATGAATGTAATGAATGTGGAAAGGCTTTCAGGAGTAAGATACATCTTTCTGTACATCAAAGACTTCATCCTGGAAAAATTCTTTATGAATGTAAGGAGTGTGGGAAGACCTTCCATAGAAACTCACATCTTATTAAACATCAAAGAATTCATACTGGAGAGAAACCTTATAAATGTAGTGAATGTGGAAAGGCCTTCAAGAGGAAGGTACATCTTAACCTGCATCAGAGAATTCATACTGGAGACATTCTTTATGAATGTAAGGATTGTGGGAAGGCTTTCCTCTACAACTCAGATCTTATTCGACATCAAAGAATTCATAGTGTAGAGAAACCTTATGACTGTACTGTATGTGGAAAGGCATTCAGGAATAAGACACAACTTGCTGTGCATCAGAGAATTCATACCGGAGAGAAACCTTATGAATGTAATGAATGTGGGAAGTTCTTTAGACAGAGGACACACCTCTATATGCATCAGAGACTTCATACCAGAGACATTCTTTATGAATGTAAGGAGTGTGGAAAGGCTTTCCCTTACATCTCAGATCTCATTCAACATCAGAGAATTCATAATGGAGAGAAACCTTATAAATGTACTGTATGTATGAAGGCCTTCAGGAGTAGGACACAACTTACTGTGCATCAGAGAATTCATACTGGAGAGAAACCTTATGAGTGCAGTGAATGTGGAAAGTTCTTTAGACAGAGGACACACCTTTATATCCATCAGAGAATTCATAATGGAGAGATTCTTTATGAATGTAAGGATTGTGGGAAGGCTTTCTCTTACAACTCAGAACTTATCCGACATCAAAGAATTCATACTGGAGAGAAATCTTATGAATATAGTATATGTGGTTAGACCTTCAATAGGAAGGCACAACTTACTGTGCATCAGAGAATTCATACCGGAGAGATCCTTTATGAATGTAAGAAATGTGGGAAAGCTTTCTGTTACAACCCAGAAGTTATGCAACATTAAAAAATTCATCCAGAGAGAAACCTTATGAGTGTACTGTAAGAAGGAAGGTATTATGCCTGAATGTAGAATTTACTGAACATCAGAACATTCATTCTGGAGAGAGACTTTTTTGAGTGTAATGAATGTGGGAAGACCTTCAAACTTAGGACACAGCTTGCTCAGCATCAAAGAATTCATTTTGTAGAGGAATCTTATGAGTGTAATGCATGTGGGAAAGGACTTTAGACTAAGAATGCTGCTTTATTTCCATCAGAAAATTCACACTGGAGAGATTCTTTATAAATTTAAGGAGTGTGGGAAGATCTAGCTAAGTAAACTATGATTCTGAGTCACTAAATGAAGTTCAGAGAGTCCTTATTTAGCCCTCATGGGATAAAGAAATATCCCTTCTTTCTTCGGAGTCCTCTAATAGGATAAAATTTAATGTTATCCTTCCATGGGCCTTCAGGGAGTGAGAGGTTATGCTGGATGGGCAGAGGATCCTGAGTGGCTAGTGGTATTGGAAAAGCCTTGGTGTTAACTTTGATCCCTGACATATGTCATGCAAGAGGTATATGAATTACCTCTTGGCCATCAGATGATCATGATGTTTGCTACGTAATTGTGGACTGTGCTTGAGGAAGCATGATCTGAATTGTGTTCCTGATTTTGATGGTGCTGCTTCTGCTTGTATTCATCAGGGTAGCCAGTGTGAACTGCAAAGATTTGGAATCTTATTAGTTAAAACAAAGCATCAGAGAGCTTGTGGCAGATGTTCGTGGGATATGATTTCTTCCCAGTTTTCTTAATGTCAAATGGAGAAATCCAGTTAAGTGCAGGTAAATGACATGAATAACTGTGACTCTGTTAGTCAAGTACATTATCTAATTTGTTGTTGTTTACGCATTTTCCATTGTGGCTGACTCTTTGTGACCCCCTTTTGGTTTTCTTGGCAAAGATATTGGAGTGGTTTACCATTTCCTTTTTCAGTTCATTTCACAGATGTGGAAGTGAGGCAAACAGGGTTAAATAAATGACTTGTCCCGAGTCACAGCTAGTAAGTGTCAGAGGCTGGATGTGAAGTCATTTCTTCCTGACTCCAGGGCTAGTACTCTATCCACTGTGCCACTTAGCTTCCCATTTTATGTAATTAGTGACACGTAGGAAAAGATGAATGAGATTTTCATTGTAGTCAAGTGGTATGAATGGGGTTTTTAGAAGAGGAAATCAAAGCTATCAATTATCATGTGAAAAAATGCTCTAAATCACTGTTGGTCAGAAAATTACAAATGAAAACAAGTACCACCTTATTTCTATCAGATGGCTAACTTGACTGAAAAGAAAAATGATAAATTCTGGAGGAGATGTAAAAAAATAGTTTATAACTTGACCAACCATTTTGGAGAACAATTTGGAACTGTGCCCAAAGGACTATAAAAGTATGCCTATCCTTTGATTCAGCAATATCCTACTAGATTTGTATCCCAAAGAGATAAAAGAAGAAGGATCTATATGTACAAAAATCTTCATAGCAGCTCTTCTTGTGATGGCAAAGAATTTGAAATTGAGGGGAAAGCCATCAATTGGGGAATGGCTGAACAAGTTGTGGTATATGATTGTGGTGGAATATTATTGCACTATAAGAAACATTAGATGGCTCAGGGGATATTGCGCTGAGCTTGGAATTAGGAAGACCATGGTTCGAATTTGGCCTCAGTCACTCACTGGCTGTGTGTCCCTCAGCAAGTCACTTAACCACTGTTTGCCTTAATCCACTGAAGAAGAAAATGGCAAAACCACTCCGGTATCTTTCCCAAGAAAACCCCACAGTGGTGTCACAAAGGGTGAGAAACAACTGAACAACAACAAAAGAAATGATGAGGGGGATGGGGTCAGAAAAACCTGGTAAGACCTATATGAATTGATGCAGAGTGAAGTGAGCAGAGCCTGGAGGTCATTGTATACAGTAACAGCAGTATTGTAATAACAGTCAGCTGTGAAAGACTTAGCTACTCTGTTTAAGATGATGATCTAAGAGAATTCCAAAGGACTCATGATAAAAAATGCTTTCTACCTCCAGAAGGAGAACTGATGAATTCAGTGTAAATTGAAGTATAATTTTTTCATTGTCTTTGACTAATATAGAAATTTGTTTTGCATGATGTCACATGTATAAATGATATATTGCTTGCCTTCCATGTGGATGTGGGAGGGGATGGAGTGAGAAAGGGAATTTGTAATTCCAAATTTTTATAAGAATGTTAAAAATATTTTTTGAATGATGAAAAAAATTTGGAATCACTCATGATATGGACCAGATAATTGAATTATGATACTTGGGTCTTTCTGCAGCAGAGAGAAAAAACATAAGATTTCTGCCTGCCTCCCTGAGCCCTAGTGATCCGCCCGCCATTTCTAGCCAGATGGATGCAAAGTGTAATGCGGATTAATTTGTGGAGGGCCAAGCTTGGGCTCTAGGGTAATGGATAGTTTGTTGCGTGACTAATGCACATACTAGCCAGAAGTTGGCTCTGCAGTAATAATCCCTGCAGTTTCAGGGGGAGGGAATGGAAGTGATTTGAGTTGACCCTCCCAAGTGGTCGTTATTAAATATATATGTGCAGAATCTGATTCACTACTGATAATAAGTAGTTGTTTATTGGTTCATGAATCTACCTTAAAGCATTGTCCCTCAGCAAGGGGGCTGGGGGAATGTTTAGTCCTTTATCAGTACAGAGACTAATAGGGAGCATAGTTTTCCCAGACACAAAGAGGGCCTAGGCCTGGTGGTACTTGGAAGCTATAAGGGCCAAAGAGAGTAGGAACTTTAGAGCTGGTTGGAGAGCTGACAGCATATGAAGGATGTCCCTACCCAAGACTTAATACAGTCATGAGTAGTTGTCTACTCATAAGTTGTCGAACTTCTGAATGCACTTAAGGAGTAATCTGCCAAGACAAGATATTGCTGTCATGCTGCTAGTGAGAGCTGATGGAATATATTCCCACTTCGCATTTCCTCATCCTGTTTGGTGAACTGACATTACTTACCCTTAAATCGTTATGTATTTGCCGTCTGCACTTTTATAATGGTTTTTGGCTAGAGACAAAAATGAGCTGATTTTTATTGCATTCTAAGCAAGTGTTTGCTATAAACAATCAGACATATCTGGGCAAGGAGCACATTGAACATATAACCCTAGACTTGGCCAGGATCCTCATCTTAAAGGGTTCTGTCTCTCTCCTCTCCCTCCCCAGTCCCCACAGAAACATAAAGACGAAATTCACATTTTTTTTACTGTATTTGTGATGGGAGGTTTTCTGTTTTTTAAATAAATCTTTCAAGAATAAAACCTCAATATCCAAAGTGGTTTCTCAAACTTGCCATTTGCTCCAAATTGCTGTAATTCTTGTTGGCTTCTAATTCAGATGTAGCCCCAATGCAACTTTTGCTCCAGCCAAAGTATTTCCCTCCTGAATATTTTATGCCTTTAGGTATCAAGAGATGTTAGAGAAGTACTTAAAGTACTCACATCAGAGATATACCAGATGAAGAACTCCAGTGGGTCAGTGTAAAAGGGCAGCATTTTGTGACTGTCCCCTGGGAGTCACTGTTTCCTACTCAACCTTGGGGGCATTAGTTCTTCCTGATTGGGAGAAAAGTGCAACTCCAGGAGAAAACAAGAGATGGAAACTTGCCCATCCTGCCCATGACGATACAAAGAAGTGACATCCTTGGTTGGCAGCTAGGAGTTCAGTGGACACTACAGTGCCCCTTCTAAGGACTAGAAAAATGAGGTGATAGAGGCAATACCTAGATAATGGAGAAAAGGCAGGGACTTTTTCTGAGCTCTCCCCAAAACCCCTCCAAACATCTTTAAATAATGCCTCAAAATAAGTTCTAGAGCAAGAGAACCCACAAAACAACTGAGTGAAACAGTTATCCAGCCTAAGACAAGTTGGAGGGTCAGCAGAAAAGGTCTGTTACACTGGGATAAGAGTCCAGCATAGGTAACGCTCCAGCAAACCACAAGTAGGTCTTAGGGAGGGAGGGTGGTGACTGAAGCAGTTTCCTGATCTCAACACACAGTAAGGGGAGTCAGATAATTGGTCAGAAGGAGATTGCAGGGTCCCTTTGCTGGCACCAGAGGCAGGACTCTGTTGCATTGCCCATACCTGGATGTGGGTCTCAGGCCCAGGATGAAGAGAAACCCTAGCATACTAGAGCTTGCAGCCACAGGGGACCTGGGACCCTGGTCACATTCTGGAATGGAAAAGAGTGCTTGTGGTCACTCGGACCAAAGCAGAAAAGTAGTAAATACCCTATTCCTAGGTCATGCCACCTTGGAAAAACTGCAAACTTACAGGTTCCCCAGAATTACTCTGAAAACAGCTGCACAAAAAACCTGACTCTTGGGTCAGTGTCCCTTCCAGTCCATAAGCACTTTAGCATAGAGTTAGAAGTCTAGAAATTGTTCAGCAAAATGAGCTAACAGCAGAAAAATATCCTGACATACTTTTAATTTTTGTTTGTGTTTTCTTTCACAGCATGCCTTACTTGGAAATATGTTTTGCATGATGACACATGTATAATCTATGTCAAATTGCCTTCTCAGTGGGGGTGGTGAGGGTAGGGAGGGAGGGAAAGAATTTGGAACTCAAAATTTGGGGAAAAAATGTTAAAATTGTTTTTATATGTAATTGGTGAAAAATAAATGAGATGACAAGATCATTTTTCTTTCCTCCACCTCTTGATTTGGATATTGGAAGTTTTAGAGTGCTTCTCTGTTAAGGAGTAACAGCCTTTCTTTCCCTTGGAGAACAAGGAGGCATGTCCCAGAAGAATAGGGGAAGGGAAATACCCATAGTGCCTAAGTTTTAAAGTTATACATTTCACTTTTCATATTGTTTCCTTCTATGGAATTTCTTTTTTCAGCTTTTATTCATTCATTCATTCATTTATTTATTTGCTTATTGATTTATTTATTTATTTTTAGGCAATTGGGGTTAAGTGACATGCCCAGGGTCACACAGCTAGTAAGTGTCAAGCATTTGGTCTGAGGGCACATTTGAACTCAGGTCCTCCTGACTTCAGGGCTGGTGCTCTATCCACTGCACCACCTAGCTGCCCCTCCTTCTATGGAATTTCATTTAAAAGCTAATTGACTGAATCCTTTGAGATTTCAGAAGGAGAGAAAAGATTTCCGGGAAAATAAGTGAGAGAATTAGAGCAATGACCAAAAGAATTATCAGTTATTAAGTTCTGGGCCCTTCAGTCCTTGGAGCATTCTCAGTCTCTATTCCTGGCCTTCTCATGGAACCTTGGAGTAGGCCATAGTCTAGGCATTGTATTTCATCCTGGAGTCCTGTTGAGCTGGAAGAACTCTGGAGAAAGGAAACAAGAGTATGGGCTAGAGCATGATATTGATCATCAGCCTCTGAGTCTTAGATCAACCAGTGTCTCTGTTCTCTCTACAGGAGTCAGAATATCCTTACCCCTAAGCTTGAGACAAAAACCAAAGAAACCACTAGGAGTGAGCCATGGTGGTTATAGAATCCATGAGTAACAGGCAGCGTTACATGTGAAGCTGGTCATATAGGTGATGACTCTGGAGTACCATTTGGTGGTTCACCAGCTCCAAGTAACTACTCCAAACACATTGCCTGGTGTCTGGTGAAACACAACCCTTTCCAGCAGGTATGGAAAAGATCTACTCACAAGCTATTTCTGGAGGTTCCTTTTGGAAGGCATTTCCCAACACCCATGCCTTTTTATTTTCTTTAAAGGTATGCAAATCTCTCTTTTTGGATCTAATTCATTCTGATAAATCTAGCTCTGTAGAGAGAGAATTCTCAAATCTCTGTCTTCAGCCCTTTTCTTTCCTGAGTACTATAACTGCATTTTCAACCAGTTCTTGGGTGCTTCCACTTGTTTTTCTTGAGAGTAGCTCAAACTGAGCATGT